CTGCCCAGCTGTGCACAGTCTATCTGGTTGGAGCATCAAGTGCACGTGGAGGAGGCAGGCGACCAGGCGGGACATGCAGGCGGGACGCAGAAGAGGGAAAGAGAGGGGATATTGCTTACTGTTGTAAAAAATAAGACAACTGCATACCCTTTCCTCAATGACTTACGGTCACATTTGCAGTACTTTTTCTTTGAGTCGGAATTTTGCTTGTTGCCCAGGCTGGAGTGCAATGGTGTGATCTAGCCTCACGGCAACTTCCGCCTCCTGAGTTCAAGAGATTCTCCTGCCTCAGCCTCCTGAGTAGCTGGGATTACAGGCATGCGCCACCACGCCCGGCTAATTTTGTATTTTTAGTAGAGACAGGGTTTCTCCCTGTTGGTCAGGCTGGTCTCCAACTCCTGCCCTCAGGTGATCCGCCCACCTCGGCCTCCCAAGGTGCTGGGATCACAGGGGTGAGCCACCGCGCCCAGCCTGTACTACAGTTTCTTAAATGGCTTTACTAAGGTATAATTTATTTGCCATAAACTTCACGTATGTAAAAGGAACAATACAGTGAGTTTTAGTAAACTGACAGTTTTGTAGCCCTCACCACCATCCAGTTTCAGAATACTTCCATCACCCCAGAAAGATCTCTGGTACCCACTAGCAGCAGTCAATCCCCGTTAGTTTACCGCCAGGCCTGCCCAGGCAACCAGTAAGCTACTTTCTCTCTCTGTAGAGCTGCCTCTCTGGGCATTTCCTATAAACTGACTCATGCAATAAATGGTCTTTCGTGTCTGTCATCTGTCAATTAGCATAACGTGTTAGAGGCTCAAACACGCTGCCGCATGCAGCAGTAGCGTGTTCCTCGTCACGGCTCAGTAACATTCGGCTATATGGATATACCACTTCTTTATCCTCTTACCCACTGGTAGACATTTGGCTTGTTTCCACTCTGGGGTCTTCCCGAAAAATGCGGCAGTGAACATTGGAGCACATGTCTGTGTGTAGGCATGGTTTTATCACGAATGGGTCTCGGATACTGTCAAATGCTTTTCTCTGTCTGTGATGATGATGATCTAGTTCCTGTTCTCTATTAGATTAGCAGGGTGGATTACCTTAACTGAAATTTGAATGTTAAGCCAGTCCTGCATTCCTAGAATAAACGACACTTGGTCATGTTGCATAGCCCACTCTATGTATGACTGGATTGGGGTTTGCTAATATTTTACCGGGGATTTTTGCAGGTATGTTCATGATGTATGTTGGTTTAAGGTATCCTGCTCTCTCTGTCTTGCTTTATTATTATTATTGCTGTCTCTGTCTTGCTTTATTATTATGTTTTTGAGACAAGTCTCACTGTGTCAACCCAGGCTGGAGTGCAGAGGTGTGATCTGGACTCGCTGCAACCTCCACCTCCCAGGTTCAAGCGATTCTCCTGCCTCGGCCTCCTGAGTAGCTGGGAATACAGATGCCCACCACCACACCTGGCTAATTTTTCTATTTTTTGTAGAGTCAGAGTTTCACCATGGTTAGCCAGGCTGGTCAAGAACTCCTGACCTCAGGTGATCCACCCACCTTGGACTCCCAAAGTGCTGGGATTACAGTCGTGAGCCACTGCCCCCAGCCTCTGTCTGGCTTTAGGAGCGGAGCAATAAAAGTTTCAGAGGATGAGTTGGGAAATGCTCCCTCCTCCTCTATATTCTGAAAGAGTCTGTGAAGAGTTGATATCACGTTATTTTGTAAATGTCGGACAGACTTCACTAACGAGGCAGCGGAGCCTAGACTGTCCCTAGTGGGAAGATGTTTAATGTAGTCTTTCTACTTCCTTACCCGCTCCAGGTCTACTCAGGTGTCCCACGTGATCATTGCATTTGCACCTTTCTCTGTCCCGATCCTTTCTCACCTGCCGGTGCCTTTGGTTTGGGTTTGGCCTCTGCTGTAGAATTTCGCATACTGGACATCTGTGGACATCACAGGATTGCACATCCTAGTCTGTAACTTGGGATAGGATGGTGTTGCAGACACGACCCCCAGGTCCCCTCCGTCCCCCATACACAGGTATAGGGATAAAGACCTGGAGGTGAGGACGTGGCGCGTGTGCAGAGTGCCTCAGCGTCCTCTACTCACCCACTTTCCATGCCCGTTCCTGGAGACCCAAGGCCCTGTGGCACTGTGCATCTGTGAGCTCCCCAAGCAAGCCCCTGATGTCTGCTTTTTCCAACTCAGATCCTTCTCACTCCTTTCATCTCCCGGGACCGGGACCACAAAGGATCAGCCACCTGTTCTCTCCCACAACGATGCGTATCTGCCAGGGTTTCAATGTTTGTGTTCCCTCCAAAACTCACAGTGAAATTAACCCCCACTGCAGCAGTGTTGGGAGGTGTGGAATGACGGCAGGTGTTCAGGCCATCACGGCAGAGCCCTCGTGAGAGAAAGAAAGGAGCTTGCAGCAGTGGTTTGTTCTCTCTTTTCCTCTTCTGCTATGCGAGGACATAACATTCTTCCCGGCTTGCCCTTCCACCTTTTGCCCTGTGAGGAATTGGATTGGGGTTTGCTAATATTTTGCTGGGGATTTTTGCAGGCATATTCATGATGGATGAAGACTCTTGCCAGATACCAGATACTGGGGACTTTTGTTTTGGACATCCCAGCATCCAGGGTCATGAGAAATAAATTTGTTTCCATTATAAGTTGCCTGCTTTCTTGGTCCATTTTGCCTGGTTATAACAGAATACCTGGGTAATTTCTAAAGAAAACTGGAGGCCAGGCACGGTGGCTCATGCCGGTGGCTCCCAGCACTCTGGGAGGCCGAGGCGGGAGGATCCCTTGAGGCCGGAAGTTGGAGATCAGCCTAGGCAACATGGCCAGACAGTGTCTCTACAAAAAACTTTAAACTTAGCCTGGCATGGCGGCACAGGCTTGAGCTACTTGGGAGGCTCTGGTGGGAGGATCACTCGAGCCAGGAACTCAAGGCCGCACTGAGTCATGATCGTGCCACTGAGCTCTCTTCTGGGCAACAGAGCATGACCCTGTGTCTAAAAAAATTAAAATAAATACTTCTTTTAACAACAACAAAAAATCGGTTTATCTGGCTCACAATTCTGGTGGCCGAAACATTCAGTCTTGGGCAACTGCATCTGGGGATGGCCTCGGGCTGCTTCAACTCATGGTGGGAAGTGGAGGGGGAGCCGGCGTGTGCAATGAGATCACATGGGAAGGAGGAAGGGAGAGAGAATCCGGGGAGGCTAGACTTCTGTGAACAACCTGCTCTCCTGCGAACTAATCCATACCCGTGAGAGCAAGAACTCAGCCCGGAAGGATGGCATCACAGGACACTGAGTCCTTCACGAGGGATCCTCACCATGACCCAAACACTTCCCTCTAGGACCCGCCTCCCAACACTGCAGCACTGGGCGTTAAACTTCAACCTGACTCTTGGTGGGGATGAATACGCCACATCTAATCCAGAGCACCCAGCCTGTGGTATTTCATGATATAGCGGAAGGACAGAGACTAAGACGGGGTCTGATCTCTCTCCCTGATCAATCAATCCATCCCCCAGAGCAGGGCTACCTCTGCGACTCCTCCTGACCTCCCCAGCATGACAGTCGACGAAGCCCGGAAGGGAAAGGCAGGGTGAGGAAATGGAAACCCTGAGGATTGCTGAAATGCTGTCACTGGCAGCACGGACCTGGTGTGCCTGCTGGGCTGACTGAGAAGGTCTGCGAGACAGCATTTCGGTGGCTGGGGAGTCAGACAGAGGCATGCATCCCCGGCCACCACTTCAGGACCTCCACAAACTCTCCGCAAGGTGGGGATGACGGTACCTGCCCCACGGCACCGCGCGGAGGATTCGGCAACGGGTCTCGCCAAGACTTGGTGCTACCAGCTGTGAAATGACCACCAAAAGCCCTGCTCTAGGCAATTCACCCACAGCCTTCACAGAGGTGAACTGCTGAGGGGGCCACCTCCGATCCCAGCCTGCCTAGGTTCCTGTGCTAGTTCTGCCGGTGCCATGGGCTGGTTCCCTGACTTCTCTGGTGTTCTGCTTTCCAAATTCATACAGCGGAACTGACAATGTTGCTAGAGGATGGGTCTGTGGGAGTGGAGGAAGGCAGCTAATATGTGGAAGTGGGGAAAACACTGTCAGAACCCTAGGAAACATCAAAGGGCAATGCCTCGAGCCCCTTTGAAACCCTCCCCAATTCATTGGTCTGCATTTAGGCCTTTGTGTTTCAAGAAGGAAAAGCCCTGCTCTTTTTTTTTTTTTTTTTTTTTACCTTCTCCCTGGAGCTGGGTCACTTCAACTGTCAAGCTCTCTCATGAGATCCCAGCATCAGAATCTAAGTCACTTACTTGTTTTCAAGCCACTTCTGTTGGCAGTAGGCACACAGACTTCTGCAGCGAGACAGCTCTGGGGAATACCTAAAAACGGACTGGCACAAAGCAGAATTTGTTTTCAGTTCAGAGGAGTCACGCGGGTACTGGCTGGGTTCACACCTCGGGATTCTGCAGAGGTTAAAAGAAAGGTAGATTTAGTCATTGGTTCCTCCTGCAATCAAAAGACACAGATGTCTAAATAATCCCAGGAAGATTCTGGAAGAACCCAAGGACGCTCTGGTTCTCACGAAGCAGGTGCAAACTGCTGCTCAGGTTCACCCACCCGGGCCCACCACACCGCAAGCAATGGCCAGCCCCGCATCCCCCAGGCCGGGGCACCAGCACCGGCACCAACACGCAGGGCTCTCACCGTGGGCGGCGGACTCTGCTTCCACGTCTCCTGCGGGCAGGAGGCCTCTCTTCGAAGCCGTGGTGCTGCCTGGCTGCTCTGGCTGCTGGTCTCGCTGCATCCAGTGACTGGGCTGTGTTCTCTGGTGCCCTCCCTCCCCTGTTCCCAGTCTCCACAGCGTAGCGCTTCCCTCAATAAACCCGGATCCGCTGCTGGGAGATTTCAAGGGAGCCAGCTCAGATCTGACGAGAAAAATCAATACGGAGGAACAAACCTGAATTCTACACCTATTTTCCATTCCTACATATATTTATTTGGTATTGGTGATGAGGAACCCCATCAGAAATTCCTGCAAGGGAGAATGCTACTCGACCGTTAGGGGCAGGGCGACATTTACATACATGTAGCTTACCACATACATAAAAGTTTACGCAAACAGTACAGCGGCGGACCACCAAGTTCTCATTGCACATCCCTTTCCCACACTGTGTTTAGCTGCCCGTTCTTGAAACTGGATCTCAGGGCAGCGCACTGCATTTCAGCAGGCCTAGTGCTGCTTCTCGGAGGCAGTCAACTCAGTGGTGCAAAAGCATATAGGACAGCGACAAGGCATTCACACTACACTGACATGTGATCTCTTACGGTCAGCAGGTAGGGAAGAGAGACGGAGATCCAGGGTGGGAGAGCGACAACATGCATCACGGGAGGCAGGTGAGACGCGGCGGGGACCGCTGGTACGCAGCGTCCCTTGCCACAGGATGCCTCGCGGCCATCCGAGAATGGCAGGCACCAAAGATGAGGACCTTCCTGGGGTCGGTCAAGCGTCATGCTGGGAGGATTCCCACGTGTCCCCGTAAACGGGTCCTGGCACTCATCCGACCGCAGCTTGCTGTTTCGTCCCCAAAATGGTCCCACGCCCAGGCGCTGCCAACACGCGGGCTCCGTCTGAGTCCCTTCGGGTCTCCATCCCAGGTGGGTGCGCGTCTCAGTTCTCCTCTAACCACTGCTTGAGCAGCCTCTGAAACATTATTTTGCTCTCCTGCTGCCTCTCTCGCTGGCGCTTCTCCTCTGCCTCCTGCGGTTGGAGTGCCGCTTCAGGCAGAGGCCCGGGCTGGTTGGTACCTAGGTTGAGGGTCAAGCCACTGAGGCCCTGCACCAGCGTCTCCCAGGAGGAGGGAAGTGGGGCCCTGTTCCTCTCCCCAGGGATCCCAGAAAGATTCGGCCTGTGGCTCTGGCAGTATCGACATTCACATCGGAATCGATTCTGACCTCTGTCACCTAACGGGGAGATTCTGGCTTCCCTCCCAACAGCATAGGGGGCCATGTGATCGCGGTGTCTCCTCCTCACGTGCCTCAGGAATGCTTTCTTCCGCTGAAGGAACTCCAGCCTCTCCCACCGCTGCTCTTCGAGTGTCTTCTCCTCTCTGTACCGCTGGTGGAGCAGCCCCTCGGGGAGAGGCGCGGAGTGGCTGGGGCCAGGGCCGGGGCTCAGGTTGCTGGGGCCAGGGCCCAGGCTCAGGTTACTGAGGCCAGGACCGGGGCTCAGGTTACTGAGGCCCATCATCAGCTGCTCCGAGTACGAAGGCTGCGAGGGTGCTGGGCCTTCCCGGGAAGTCTCTGCAGCTGTCATCGGGAAAGATTTAGAAGGCGATGCTGGATTCTGTTTCTGGAGTGGATCCATGGAGGTCTGGTCCCAGCTGGAAGCTCCACCAGGCCTTTGGGTCTAGAAAGGGTGGTGAAGCTGGAGGTTCTCAGACACCAAGAAGGTAGCGAGGAATGTGTGCAGGCAGAACCCAGACTGCAACACAAGGTGATAAGACAACAAGAAAACACATGATTATTCATCTGACTCAACCTCTCTGTCCCTCCACTTCCTGTGCGTCAAATGGGGATTATACAGACACCCCCTCCTAGGCTTCTTCTGAGGATGACGTGAGATCATACATCTCGGCAGCTGAGAATACTAATGCCATCTAATAAAGGATTGAGAAATGATAGCAATTAACGCATCCACGTGACCCGGGGTGCAAAAGGATGCGATGCAGTTCGGTGATGTTGATTCCCCGCTGACATTTTCCAACCCCTTCCCAAGCATCATCTGAAGAATAATCAATGTGTGACCCACAGATGCTCTCCCCGTGAGTGTTCATTTTCATCCATTCACAAGGGAGACTTCTACTCAATTGTAAGCGTTTGCACCATGGGGACGCACCGTTTTGCATGTTCGTCTTCCTGACCACTGGGTTTGCGTCCAGTCAAAAAGGCTACTCATACCTATGGAGATCGTCTCCGAATTCCTACTGTAGATAAGAATTTATTTTGCTAAGCAACAGAAGCAAAAAACCCCCAGGAGACTTCAAACAGAAAAAAAACATACAAGAATTCAATTAATCCAAAAGCTGGTTCTTTGAAGCGATAAACCCGTGGCAGGACTGACTGGGGAAAAAGAGGGCAAAGAAACAAGTTACCAATATCAGGAACGCCAAGAAGAGATTTCACTCCAGACGCAGAAAACATAAAATGATCAACATGGTAAGAATACACGCGACTCTACAGCTTCACATTCCACAGGTCAGAGGCAATGTAGCACATACTGGAAAACCACAAGCTACCGAAACTCTCAGAGGATGGATTTCAAACACTGAACTGTGTGCATGGTCCCGTATCTTGTAAATAAACTGAATTCACAGGTAAACACATTTGCAAAGACATCTCTGGGCCAAGACAGTTTCTCTGGCAAATTCTAACAAACATTAAATGAAGAAATATCAACAACTTACACAACTTCTTCTAGGAAACAAAGCAGAGGGAATGCGTCCCACTGATTTTATGAGGCCAGCACCGCAGGGATACCAAGAAAATGACAGACCAATATTCTTTCCTAACACAGGCACCAAAGTATTCAACGAAAACCTAGCAGTTTGAATGGAGCAATATGTGAGAAGCAGAATGAGCCACGATCAACTGGGTTTTATAGCGGGAATGTGAGAGCTGTTCTTCCCATACCTGAAAATCCATCAATGTAATCCACAGATTGAGAAATCAGATGAAGAACAAAAATGACAGGATCACATCAAGCTATGCAGAAGAACCGTCTGACTAGATTCAAAGTCCACTGGTGATATAAAAACTAGCACCCCAGGGACACAAGACAACTTCCTCCCCCACAAAAAGGCCGTAAACAGTCAAACCTACAACTAACAAGCCACTCAATGGTCCAAGACTGGATGCTTTCTGCTTGAGGATGTGAACCTGGCAGGGACGTCTATTCAACGTCACGCTGGAGGCCTAGTCAGTGCTATAATTCCAGAAGAGTCACGGCACGCACCGGAGACAGCAAGAAACCAAAGTACTCCTTTTTGTAGGTCATGTGATCGTCTACATGGAACAACCCAGGTATCTCCCCCAGACTCTCCGAGCTAATAAGAGCTTAGTGCTCGTTAATGAGAGCTCAGCAGCGGCACGGGAGAGAAAGTCAACACACGGAAAACAATCCTGTGAGTAACTGGAAACCTAAATTTAAGAAAGAATACCGTCTACAAAAGCTACAAACACAGTGAGACGGTTACGTACAGAGCTTAAATACATGGAACGGGTCTGTGTGCCGAAAACGATAAAACGGTAACGAAGAGATCAAAGAAGATTTAGTTAAATGGGGAGAAACAATGTGTTCCCAGATTTAAAGACCCAAGAAGGGAAAAAGTCAACTGTCCCCAACTTGATGTGTAGAATGAATGCAGTGCCTGCCAGTCAGAATCCTTGAGGGACATTTGCATATACAAACAAGTAGATTCGACAATTCACGTGGAATAGCCGACGTTCCAAAAAGCAGAAGGGATTCAGAGAGATCGTGTTATTGGATTTTCACATTTGCTCTAAAGCTGTAATAATGGAGATTACTGGATTACAGGGGTAGACATATAGATCCATGGAAGAAAGCAGAGTCCATGAATCCATCCAGAGATGTGGCCAATGAGTTTTGACACGGATGTGAGAGGGAATCCAATGGAGAAAGGATAAGCTTTACAATACACGAGGCGCCGTATCCTTATGCGAGGAGATGCGCCTCAACCTCAACCTTTAAGTGCAGTTAAGGAAAAATGCTTCAGAGACCTACACGGCAAAGTTCAATACTAAGACTTTTGGATGAAACCGTAGGGGGACATCTTTGTGAGGGGAGGCTGGGACATGACATGAGATGCACGATCCATGGAAGGGAAAGATGGATGAATAGAAGTCTGGCAAAATTTAAAACTCGGGGTCCGGCCGGGCGCGGTGGCTCCTGCCTATAATCCCAACACGGCGGGAGGCTGAGGTGGCTGGTTCACTTGAGTGCAGGTGTTTGAGACCAGACTGGCCAACATGGTGAAACCCTCTCCGTACCAAAAAATATAAAAATTAGCTGGTGCAGTGGCACATGCGTGTAGTCCCCAGCTACTGCGGAGGCTGAGGCAGGCGAATCACTTGAACCCTGTAGGCAGAGATTGAAGTGAGCTGAGATCGAGCCACTGCCCTCCAGTCTGGGCTACAGAGTGAGACCATGTCTCAAACTCAATCAATCAATCAATCAATAAAAGACAATAAAATAAAACCTTGGCTGTGTAAGAGCTAGTGTGTTCTGAGAAAGAAAATAAAAGTTGCACCACTAGGAGGAAATGTTTGAGAATCATTGACCTGACCGAGATCTCACATCCAAAATACATGGCACATTATCAAAACTCCACAATAAGAAAATCAACACCCCAACCAGAAAATGGGGGAAAGACTTGAACGGGAGTACATGGAACCATATTTAACATCATTGAGCACTAGGGGAACGCAAATTAACACCGTGAGTACCGGCAACGCCAAGTGAGGAGAACATGCTGGGCGACTGGAACACTCATACTTTGCGGCTGGGAGGGCGAAATAGCAGAGCAACTTGGAGAAGCACCTTGGCAGTTTCCTGCAAGCGAAACAGATGTTTACCACAGGACCCAGCCATCCCACTCCTGGGATCTACCCTAGAGAAACAGAAAAACGTAGGTTCACACAAAAGCCTGCACGGAATGGTAAAAGCAGCTCGATGCAAAACTGCCCCAAACTGGAGAGAGGAAAACGTCCTTTGGTGGAAGGCTGGCTGAACACCTGTGATCTTCCACACAGTGAAACTGCTTTTTCAGCCTAGGACGGAAGCATCTGACACTCACTCAACACGTTCATCAGGCCAAAAGAAGGAAGCCCACCTCACAAGGCCACAAACCATATGGCGTCACTGACATGACACTCTCCCCAAGACAAAACTAGAGGGAAGGAAACAGATCACTTTTCATCAGGGATGAGGGGTGAGGGAGGGGTAACCGCAATGGGGTGGTTCCAGGAGTGTCCTGGGGTGATGGGACTGTTTTGCATCCTGACTGTGGTGATGGTGGTGACAAGAACGTAAGCCTGTGTTAAAGCTCACAGAACTATACTGCCAAGGGAAAGAAGTCAATCTTGCTGTAGGTTAAGTGAAAAAACCCAACGGCATATTTTGCAATAAGGGCATCTCTCTATATTCTTTTGATAAATACATCTTAGATGAATGCGACAAAAAATTGACATTAAATGCTAAATGGAAACTTTAGACCAGCCTCCCAGGCTCTATTCTTTTGACAAACTTGGAAACCAAGAATTCACTAGTTTTCTTGAGAGGATGCTGGTCCTCTGAATGTTTATTTGCCAAATCGTGGCTACCAGCACACACTGGGGTAGGAAAGAACCAAATCAGAAACAGTTTGAATATGTACTGAACACACACACACCCCAGAAAGAGTTAATCTTTCAGAAATTGAAATCTATCTTCCCTATGAGTTAGTTCCCTGACATCCTTTGGGCCACCGCCATCTTACACAAACACTTACGTGTGAAACGTGTGGAAAATGATTTGGGGTTTTTTTTGTTTTTTTTTTTTTTTTTTTTTTGAGACAGAGTTTTGCTCTTGTTGCCCCAGGCTGGAGTGCAATAGTGCGATCTCGGCTCACTGCAACCTCCACCTCCCGGGTTCAAGCGATTCTCCTGTCTCAGCCTCCCGAGTAGCTGGGATTATAGGCATGCGCCACCATGCCCGGCTAATTCTGTATTTTAAGTAGAGACGTGGTTTCTCCATGTTGGTCAGGCTGGTCTCAAACTCCCGACCTCAGGTGATCCGCCTGCCTCAGCCTCCCAAAGTACTGGGATTACAGGTATGAGCCACTGCACCCGGCTTTTTTTTTTTTTTTTTTTTTTTTGAGATGGAGTCTCACTCTGTCACCAGGCTGGAGTGCAGTGGCGCAATCTCGGCTCACTGCAACCTCTGCCTCCCGGGTTCAAGCGATTCTCCTGCCTCAGCCTCCCGAGTAGCTGGGATTACAGATGCCCACCACCATACACGGCTAATTTTTGTATTTTTAGTAGATATGGAGTTTCACCATGTTGGCCAGGATGGTCTCGATCCCTTGACCTCGTGATCCACCCACCTTGGCCTCCCAAAATGCTGGGATTACAGGTGTGAGCCACCACACCCAGCAGGAAAACTATCTTAACCCAATTACCACCCAGCCAATTTTCAGGTGTCACAAGGATTCTCTCAGGATCTATTTCTACATGTAGGAGCTAATTCTCAGAGAGAAAAAAAGTCCTCACAACCCTTTTCCCTCTTTTTTTGTCGAGGCAGGGTCTTGCTCTGTTGCCCAGTCTGGTGTGCAGTGGCAGAATCTCAGCTCACTGCAACCTCCGTTTCCTGGGCTCAACTGTCCCTCCAGCCTCAGCCTCCCGGGCAGCTTACGCTACAGGCGAGAGCCACCATGCCTGGCTAGCTTTTGTATTTTTTATAGAGACGGGGATTCACCATGTTGCCTAGGCTGGTCTCGAACTCCTGAGTTCAAAGAGTTCGGCCTCCTCAATTGTTGGGATTCCCGGCATGAGCCACTGTGCCCAGCCAACAACACCTTTATAGGAAGAAATGAGGGCTGGGCGTGGTGGTTCATACCTGTAATCCCACCCTTTGGGAGGCCGAGGAGGGCTGATCACCTGAGATCAGGAGTTTGAGACCAGCCCAGCCAACATGGCAAAACTCCAGCTCTACTGAAAATACAAAAAAATCAGCTGGGTGTGGTGGCGGGCACTTGTAGTTCCAGCCACTAGAGAGGCTGAAGCAGGAGAATCATTTGAACCCAGGAAGTGGAGGCTGTAGTAAGCTGAGGTTACACTACCGCACTCCAGCCTGGGCAACAGGGAAAGACGCTTTCTCAAAGGAAAAAAAGAAAGATGAAGATTCTGGAGACGTCAGCTGACAATCAGCCTGCACAGTCATTGCTTTTTTCTCTTTCTCCCTCCATCAATTTTGTGAAATGAAACATTTTACTGTCCTATGTGTAGGTTCATTCAGAGATTCTCAAACCACACCCATGGAGTCGCTCATGATCCCTGACAGAGGCATTAAGGACAACGAGGTCTAGAGAAGTCCCCTGTGTGTACGGAGGGGAGCAGCTACAGCAATACATGTGACTTCCCTTCCTTCATCATCTCACCAACGTCATTCCTTCAACAGGCAGTTGCTCCCCGGGAAAAGATCTTGTATCAAAAATCTCTGCATAAAATACCACAGCCTCAAGTTTCCTGCCTCATCTCACGCAGCTACTGAAGAGAGGGAGGGACTACTGGAGACAGGGAACCCAGACAGTTTAGCCGTCAGACCTGCAGCATGAAAGGTGATGTCTCTGGGAACCGATCCCTCACTGTGATGGTTTTATCTGGGAACTGTTCCCTCACTGTGATAGTTTTATCTGGGAACTGATCCCTCACTGTGATCGTTTTATCGGTCAACTCGGCCAGGCTTGGTGACTGGGCCCCTTTGGTCAAACGCTACTCTAAATGTTGCTGGGAAGGGATTTGTGGATGCGATTAACATTTACCATCAGGCTGGGCATGGTGGCTGACGCCTATAATCCCAGCACTTTGAGAGACCGAGGTGGGTGGATCGCTTGAGGTCACCAGTTCGAGACCAGGCTGGCCAACACGGTGAAACCCCATCTCTACTAAAAATAAAAAGTACCCGGGTGTAGTGGTGGGTGCCTATAGTAGTTCGGGAATGCCATGCCCCCTAGCAAGACTTTCACTTCTCATTCACCCTGCAGGACTCAGCTGAGATAGCACCTCCCTGCTGGAAGCCTTCTCCAAGCTCCTAAAACACCCTGTATTTCCCTGTCCTGGCTCCAGTCCCACTCAGCTGTCAACAGATAGTTGTCTGTCAACCCCCTAGCCCTGGAGCTGACAGAGGCCAGGGACTCTGTCTTGTTCACCCACCACAGAGTCTTGAGCCCAGTGGACATCCACATTCACAAATACCTATCAAAGGAAACAAGGAGAATATGGGGCCTGTCATAAACATCTCACTGAGTATGTCAAGTCAACTCCGCAGAATCCATATTTTTCCATGTTGCAAAGGCAGAAATTCCTGCATGGAGAGGTCGAGTAACTTCCCTCAGATCACACAGCCACTCAGGGACAGAATTCCCTCCCAGGTCTCCCTGATTGCAGGTGCACACACCCTTGGTGGCATTGCCTCTCTGGGTGTTCAGCCTCCCCTGATGCCTAAGTGAGAAGGCGATCCCGAGGGACGAATTCAGACAGCAGAGTCCTGGGGGCTGAACCGCGTGTCCACAGCTGCCCGGGGATCGGGTACAACACTGTGACTCCTTACTCTCATTTTCTCCCGGCCAGTTCTGTTCTTATGCTAAAAATGCTGCACCTCTCACACCTCTTGCACTACCCACTCTCATTTGCTTCATTTCTCCTGTGCGGAAGGAGAAAGGGAACAGCTAAGCAAGCGAATCCAGACTACACCCTGGAGATGACCTGATATCAGCTCACTGCAGCCCTCGCCTCCCGGGTTCAAGCAATTCTCCTGCCTCAGCCTCATGAGTAGCTGGGATTACAGGTGCCCGCCATCAGGCCTGGCTAATTTTTGTATTTTTAGTAGAGACGGGGTTTCACCATGTTGGTCAGGCTGGTCTCAAATTCCTGACGTTGTGATCTACCCGCCTCGGAAAGTGCTGGGATTGCAGGCATGAGCAACCGGTGCGCCTGGCCACATGGACCTTTTTCTAGGAGTGCCAAAATCCCACAGCAGAATGACTAAGCTCTGTGCAAGGTCTCTGGGTGCTGAAAACTGTGCTCCTAGTCTCGTGCCATGCCAGGGGAAAGGAGTCCGACTCTTAGCCATGCAATGCCACACAGACTGAGGAAAGAGTCTGTCCTACACACGGCTCACAGACGTTCTATATTTTGGATGCCTACACAGATTATCTCTATCCTGCTGGGTCTGGAGTAGAGGAGTTGTAATTCTTAGCAGCTTTGTAACAAAAGAACAGGTGGTCAGTAAAGCCAGCAATGCCTACTTTTAAGAGAGAAAGAAGAAAATGAAGATAGCAGTGAAGCATGGTGCTGGCATCAGGGGTCTCCCAGCAGGTGAGTACACAGAAAAGCAGCAGGAGTACAACCGGGAGTCCAGGGAGGGGCACATTCTGAGGGACCAAGACCAGTGGCTAGAGCAGCAAGAGGAAGCCAAGGAGCAAGTCTCCTCTCGTGAGAAAGGAGCTTACCTAGACTCGCCCAAGGCAGTCAGGTCGCTGGGTTCACAAAGTCGATGCTGTGGGTGTAGGTTGAGTGACTGCTACACCTTCACCTATAAAAGAAAACAACCTCACTGACCAGATCACATTCCTCCAGGTATTTACTGACAGCCCACTCCATTCAGCGGTGCCTTCGGTGAATTGCCCAATGCAGACCCATCCCAAGGACAAGTCTCAGTCAGAAATAAAATGTTGTCCAAGAAGCCAGGAATGGTGGTTCCCAGCTCTAAATCCAAGCACTTTGGGAGGCTGAGGGGGGAGAATTGCTTGAGGCCAGGAATTTGAGACCAGCCTGAGCAACAGGGTGAGACCACCATCTCAACAAAATTTTAAAAAATTAGCCAGGCACAAGGCTGTACGCCTGGTCCCAGCTACTGAGGAGGCTCAGGTGGGACGATCATTTCATCCCAGGAGGTTGAGGCCGGTGCAGTCCAGCCTGGGTGACACAGTGAGACCATCCCCCCAAAAACAAAACAAAACAAAAAGACAACCGTGGCAAGCATGAGACACGGGGGCTTCTGACACAGAGGAAGTCAAAACCACCATAGCCAAGGTGGTAGGAACAGCTTCTCCCAGGGTGTGGTATGATATATATTATCTGCACCAGTTGCAGATGAGGTAACAGGATCAGAGAGTAACTTCTGAGTAGCACTGAAGGTCACACATCTAAGCAGTGGTGGTGACCATTTCTCACTGAGGTCTGCTGAAATACAGAAGTCACTCCACTGTTTGTGACACCAATCTCTCTTTATATTTGCCACCTGTTTTAATTCGCATTCACTGACATATACTTACCTGCGGCTACCCTGACCTTCATATTCTCATAAGTGGCTAAATATCGTGTGTGTGTGTGTGTGTGTGTGTGTGTGTGTGTGTGTGTGTGTATATACTTTTTTTTTTTTTTTTGAGACAGAGTTTCACTCTTGTTACCCAGGCTGGATGGAGTGCAATGGCGCGATCTCGGCTCACCGCAACCTCCGCCTCCTAGGTTCAGGCAATTCTCCTGCCTCAGCCTCCTGAGTAGCTGGGATTACAGGCACGCGCCACCATGCCCAGCTAATTTTTTGTACTTTTAGTAGAGACGGGGTTTCACCATGTTGACCAGGATGGTCTCGATCTCTTGACCTCGTGATCCACCCGCCTGGGCCTCCCAAAGTGCTGGGATTACAGGCGTGAGCCACCGCGCCCGGCCTTATATATATATCTATTTTTTTAAGCACATCAGGTCTTTCCATTAAAGAACCTAAATTTCCCGTGCTAGGCACGATTGCCCAGCCCAGAACTGAACACTTATCTGCAATTTATCTTCCAACTACACACTAAGGAAAGGGAATGGATTACTGCCATTAGGTATTTCACGAATTCTGAACTAATGTTTCAAATGTAACCACTGTCCAACCAGAAACAGTAAAAACAGTGCTTCCCTATGAAAAGCATTCACAGGACATTTTATTAAATGCCAAAGCGTTCCAGGTAGAACACGCTGCCCCTTTGACAGGGAGTTGTTGAAATTCTGCTCCTAAGAATATAGAAGTCTTTTTTCTCTCCATTGCTAGTGCCCTGATAAGCCCAGCCAAGCAAAGCCATTCGCTTTTTTTTTTTTTCCCCCGAGCAAACACACCAAACCACCCTCACACCCACGCACAAATCCAACGCGCCCAACGGGGATATGTCAGTAGAGGGAAATGGCACTGGAGATGCAGCTGGAAATCCATGACTACTCAGAGCACCATATTTCTGATGGCACAGAGGGCTACCGCGCATCGTGGCCTGTACTCCAACAAGGTGGAGGGCGGAGAGGCCCTCCTTCTCTAAACCTAACACCCTACAGCTTGTGCGGCTACTGGACACAAGTGGCCTGGGCCATTCACCGCGTGGAATGCAGGAATCACAGTGCCCATTAAACGCACATCTCATATGCCACATCACGACCCTCCCTCTGTCACACGTCCTAGAAAGGGTTTGCGGGACGGTCTGCTTCAAAAGGGGCAACGGAGTCTTCCTTGAAAACCCTCCAGTCAAGGTGTTTCCTGCTGTTCGGTGGGAGAAGAGGTGGGGAAGGAGATGATGCCAAGAACACGGTGATTTCTAAACCTGTTGAACAATGATTACAGCCCAAGTGTAGTCCCGCCGGCTACAAATGCCCGCGGCAAGTCTCGGCATCCTCTTTCTCTGCTGAAAAAGGCCACCCCCAAGCAGAGAAAGAGAGCAACTCCACCCCTAGACTGCGCGACTGCATTCCCACAGCGGGGAGCTAAGGGCGGCGGCGAAAACTACCCGCTTCCTCCGAAAGCCCCACTCCGGGCCGGCCCAACCCAGGGATTCGAGTCCCAAGATGCACGGGCCTGTGCTAGGGGACAGTCTGGGTGTCGGCCTCTCGCTCTCTCTCTCTACAAATCTGTCCCACCCCCCCTTCATCCCCCCACCCCGCTCTCAGTTTCTCCCGCGCGCTCGCTCGCTCTCCGTCTCTCTCGGGCTCTCTCACGCGCGTTCTCGTTCCGGAGCCGGTTCCCGCCGTCCAGGAGCCAGCGCGGGGCCTCCTTTCCTGGGGCCTTAGAAACGCGGCTCGCCAGAATTGAAGGGTTAAGACCACCGAGAGGAGTCGCCCTCCGGCGGGCTAGAGGCGCCACAAAGCGGAAGGGGACGTCAGCGAGGACGAGCGGACGTCACAGGGATACGGAGCTGCTAAGAACCTGGACCTTTGATTAGCTACTGCGGGCGGCCGGGGACCCGAGAGAAGAAGTGAGTGTGTGTGCGAGAGCGGCTCAGTGGCTTCTCTAGACTCATGCCGCCCAGCTCGCCTACGAAGGGAGAAGGCGTGGAGATCACCCCTTCCGGAGGAGCGCCGCGGCGTTCCCGGAGCGGCCCTTTTTGAAACGTGGCTCGTGGGCGGCACGAGTGCTTCCGGGGGTCATGGGAAGAGAATCCACGCAGCGGAAGTTCACAGGCGAGGGACGTGGGAACTAAGCTGGAGGGATGGGAAGAGTCCGACTTCTGTGATTGGCTGGGAGTTTTGAGCTAGGGCGCGCCCCTAAGAACTGACACCTGCTGTTTCATTTTCATTAGTTACTGTTTTTGCATGGGCTATACATACGCCTTGGTAAAGACAGAAACTAACCAATCCAAGATATTGAAATTACTCAGGTTACTGCCGTAGGGTGAGCGCCCCAGAAGTGGAAATGACACTGTCGGGGTAAATGGGGGAGGGGGGGAGGGGGTAAGGGAGTGTGTCTTTTACTTTCATAAGAAGGAGTAGACAGGTTTTAGTGGGGAGATTTATGGGGCAGGAGTTTTTTGTAATTAGCGAAAGTCTCAGCTAGCTGAACAGGCAATGTTTCTTTCTCTGCCTAGCTACTTTCTGTAGGACACACTTCCCGTCTAAGAGAATCATTCCTGAGACAAAATAACAAGGTCTGCCATTTGGGAGTCATGGCACAGAGTGAAGAGCGAGCAACCTTTCTCTAACTCCTATGGAGAATATGGTCCTACAAAGGTCAACGATTTCCCAGAACACGAAAGTGCCTAACCTCTCTCTGTGCCTACCGCGCCACATCCGTAATAGGATGGCACAGCGATTTCTTTACCATGGCGTATTTCAGGAATCAAGTGACATGCAACAAGGTCTGTCCTAGCAGATACACGGATAGTACATTCCTTTTTAACCCTGGGAGAATCTGCCTCATGAACAGCAGTTTATAGTTTTCAAAAAGTAGTATTTTGTGGTCTAAATGAAGGAAAATCAATCATTATCCTAGAATATTATCTTAATTTCATTTTACAATTGAAGTAACTGAGCCACAGAGAGCTTAAGTAACTTTCCCAAAGTCACAGAAGAAATAAATTATGGAGTTACAATTTAAATCCAGGTGTCTGTGGCTTCATCCCCTTCGTGCTGTGCAGCCATACACTGTCATTTCCAAATGCACACATGTGGCTCGATCCTCCCCGAGTCTACAGATTTTCTGTGCTAGCTGACAACCCCACAGGCCCGTTGCACTCACCTCCTCCCACCCATCCTCCTGGACAGTGGGAGATGACTTCTCAAAGAAGAGAGTGTTAGACATCCTTGGTCCCAAAGGTCCTACCTAACCCCTGGAGGGAGAGGTGGGCTTCAAGAGGAAGATTAGAGGATTTGAAGGGAGAGTGTGTTTGTCTGAAGGACAGGCTGATGGGCTATTACAGCACACATGTGATAATAAACACCTGTTACTTTGAATTTATGTATTCAAAGTAACAGGTGTTTATTATCACATGTATTACTTCTTTAGTATTGGCAATACATGCCGAATGGTGATGATACCCAAAGCAGATAGGTAAAATCAAGCCCCTATATGGGCAAATTGAGACAGTCCCATTTTTCTTGGGAGGAGCTCACAAGAAAATACCATTCTGCAGTATACAAGGAGAACCTTCTCCTAGACTCAACAAATGAAACAAATTAGTTATATTTTCTAATTATTCTTATTCTCCTATTACAAATGAGGTGTGGTAGGCACACAGAGGTTAGGGAAGCTCTGCAAAGTCATTCAACTCATATGTCTTTAGGTCCCAGAACAAGGACTACTCAGCATGTCCCAAAGTGAACCCACCCATCCCCACTCTCAGCACACCTGCCCCTCCTCCTGTGCTGCCTGACTCACTGACAGGTACCAACTTCTACCCAGCAGCTTGTGCCAGAGATCTTGAAAGCCATCCTTGATTGCTACCTCTCTCTCACCACCCCACGGTGACCGAGCCTGGCCAGTTCAACCTCCCAAGTCTTTCTAAGTGAGATCTTGACATTCTTCTCCATCACCACAGGAAGTTCCCCAGTCCAGTCACCCTCATCCCCCTCCTTGATGACCACCTCTTGCTGCCAGTCTTGACCCCTTCCACACATTCTCTGTCCCAGTGCGTGAGGCACCTTTCTTAACTGCTGATCTGGTCATGTCAAACCTTTTCAAATTCTACTAGGGCTGCCTGCTGCCCTTAGGATAAAGTCCAGCCTCCTGGATTACGGACATCAGGCCTTGGCTATCCCCAAATGCATCCTCTGTAGCAGATGCCTCCTCCTGCTGCACCTACCCTCAGTATTCCACATTCTAGACCTCTCTGTGTTCATCAGTTAGCCAACACTTGTACTCTCTCTCTCTAGTATGCATGCTCACTCTCTCGCTCTCCCTCTCATGTCCACCACCTCACACCCCCACTTCCCTCTGTCTGGCCTGTACTTGCTCCATCCCCCTCTGCCTGATTCCTCCTTACCTTCAGCTCTCAAGTGAAGGAGGGCAAATTCTACTTTACCTAGGGAGAACATGGATCAAAAGGCACACTTAGTGGTTTTGTTATTTTTACTCAATAGCATATGATGGGGATTCATGAAAATTCCCCCAGTGGGCCAGTCAATTGGAATTTCACCTCAGAGTAGGGTTTTGGGATAAGTTTACTTGCAAAGAATAGGATGCAGGAAGGTAACTGAGGAAGGTGACAGGTTCATTTGTCTGACTATAGCAATTATTTCACTGTGTATGTGTGTATAACATGTTTTATACCTCAAATATATACAATAAAAATGTAAATTATAATAAAAATACACAACATTGACTTCTCTATTCCTGTAGACTCATCGTTGTGCGAACGTGGAGTTTGGAATTATGGCCCCAGGTTCAGTACCATGAAGTGATGTGGGCTGAGGACCTGCCTCACAGCTGGTCCCTCCTGCCACAGAGTGGACTCTGAGGCTTAGCTTCATTCACTACAGCCTGTTATGTCAGCTCCTAGCATGGCGCACCTGAGTATGAACAGAAGTGTCTGCTTTGGAAATGTGGACAATAACAGAGAAAAGATGGAAATGGCCCTGGTCCTGCCACCAGCAGCCCAAACTGGGTACACTGGACTCACACTGTCCTGGCATGCTGGCCCCCACGCTGATGTGCCCCTAACATGGCACAGTGTGAATGGCTATTCCTGGAGCCTGGGTGTTGAGGACCTACTGTGTGCCATGCATGTACAGTGTTGATTTCCCAAAGACCCAGAGAGGTAATTATCAAATCCCCATCTACAGATAAGGAACCAACCTGAAAGAGGTCAGGGCACCAAAGCAGAAAAGGCTGGATTTGGGACTCACACACAGGTTCTCTCAGACTCCAAAGCCAGGCCTCTTTAAACTCATGACAGCATACTTTGCTTATGTTCCCCTTGCTGAGATGCAGATATTATTCCGTGATGGGACAGTCTGTCTGGTCCCAACACCACATCCATCTGTGTGAGATCCAGGCCCCTGGCAGGGCATAGCCATCCTGAAAAGTTCTAACACATTCCATAGGAGCTGCCCCGGAGTCCCTTGCCTCACAGCTAACAGTCGAGTTTAGTTTCTAGGGCTCCGCCAGGAGGCGCTTTGCCCTATAACAGAGACACTTGCAATCTACCCCCGCCCTAAATTACGTCTCCATCCTCACTTTTTTTAACAGATAAGAAGAATCTAAAGGCAAACAGAGCAGAGGCAGCGTTGTTAGTGGCTGCAACACAGCTGTGGAGTTGATCAGACTCCAAATGTAGTATGGAAATCAACAGAATGAGGATGGGAATCTGGCTTCGCCTGTTCTTCAGCTCTCTGGGCTGTAAGCTGTGTGGAATCAAAGTGCCTGCCACCCACACCTCCCCTCTTCTGAAGAGTCTATCCTGACCAAACCCTTGCACACACACACACCCTTCAGGTGAGGGTAGGGTGCTCTCCTGTGTGCTTCTAGGGGACTTTGGGTTAAATTCTACCATGGCTCTCATTACCCCCACCACTGTGGAGGTCATCTGCCAGAAAGGATACAGCCGAAAGCATCCCCTTGTCCCTAGCGTGTCTAGTCAGCCCTCGGAACAAGTTTATTCAGTTAATAAAGGAATTTCACCCAGGGTACTTAGTCGGTAATGACTATGATTGTAGCATCCCTGTGTGCATTAGAAATGCTCCAGGAGAATCCAGTGAACAGAGGACATCTGTGCAATGAGATTCTCTTCCCTTGGAGTTGGGGAGGAAGGTTGTAACTTTCCTCCCTTCCCTAATTCCAGAACTCCTAATAAAAGAGGCTACAATATTATTTATTTGAGATAGAGACTCGCTCTGTCACCCAGGCTGGAGTGCAGTGGCACAATCTCAGCTCACTACAACCTCCGCCTCCTGGTTTCAAGCGATTCTCCTGCCTCAGCCACCCAAGTAGCTGGGATTACAGGTGCGTGCCACTAGGCCTGGCTAATTTTTTTGTACTTTTAGTAAATGGCATTTCACCATGTTGGCCAGGCTGTTCACAAAGTCTTGACCTCAAGTGATCTGCCTGCCTCACCCTCCCAAAGTGCTAGGATTACAGGTGTGAACCACCAAACCTGGCCAGAATTTTTAAGTATGTCTCAGCCAATATGTTACTCTGTCAGGCTCAGCTCTGGCCTCCCAGTGGGACTACAGTGATGGGTTCACCAAACTGTCCGAGTACCCCATGGCAAATGCACATGGACCTCCCCCAAGATCTGTAGGGAAGGAGGACTGTTGACTGGGTTCTGGCCTCCTAATCAAGTATGTGGTTCTGTGGCTGCAACACAGATGTCCACGGCGACAAGGACATGAACACCTGGATGAGCACATCTGTCAAGTCCGAGTGGGCTGCATCAGCTGCCCTTGCCTGTCCTAGCTTATTGCCCAAGCCCTCCTGGTTCTGACTGCTCCTGCCCGGGTCCCACCTTCGCCTGAACTCGGCAGGCTGCTCAGATGTGCTTTCAGCATCTGCGGCCTTTCATTGTCCCTTTCCGTCTCACTGGCAGGGCAGAAGCATACCTGGCCCAACAGGATCCTGTCTCTGTCACCGTGGCACCTCCTGCCTTCCGTTCAGCTTCCTGCTGGTGCGCTGTGTCGGGATGACTCAGCCTCTGACTTTTATTCCCAACTGGTCCCTCTGTCTGGAAGGCCTTCACCACAGATATCTGCCTGACCCCTCCCCCTTCACCACAGCTATCTGCCTGACTCCTCCCCCTTCACATCTTTGTGAAAATGTCACCTTTTCAGCCCAGGCTACCCTGGTCACTCTGTGTCATAATTAACCTGCAGCCCACCCAGTTCCTCCCCCTATTCCCAGTCCCTGTACCACCATCTGGATATTTTTTAACAGAACCCCATCACCTTTATAAACTAAAAATAAAATTGTAAGCCCCACCCACCAGCCATCTGAATTGACCCTTCCTCTAGGCCGAGGCCATTCCATAGTTAACCTGAAAAACTAGTTCAGGCCATCATAGGAAGGGTGGGTCAGACATGCGTCATTACACCCTTCTCCCTATGGAATTCAGGCACAACTGACCAGCATTTCTGTTATCTTAAGGAAGAGATCTTAAGGCTTTAGCAATAAGATACCAAGTTCAACCCTGACTAGCATAGCATCACATTACAAATAGGCCCTGAAAGAAGTCAAAGTATTTCACCCAACAATATATTTCTTTGACACATTTTGAAATAGCCCTACAGAGCCACCACTTGTGAGGAAGTCTACATTCTGTAGAAAATCCCTTTTCCTTTCTAGGTCTTTTTCCTGACCTAGGAGAGAATTAACGAAGAGTCCAGCACCTTTTGAAGTCTGATAAGAAACATTTACAGCCTATACTCTCTGAAACCTGCTACCTCGGGGCTTCATTGGCATAGGAACCTTGGGCTCCACAATGCCTTATCTTAATCCAGACACTCCCTCCTATGGGTTGGAGGTCTTTAGATAAACTCAAGCAATTGCCAATCTGAAAATCTTGGAATCCACCAGTGACCTGAAAGACCCCCCGCTGCCCCGCCAACCTACAATTGTCCAGCCTTTTCACACCGAACCAATGTACATTGTACATGCACTGATTGATGTCTTACATCTCCTCAAAGTGTATAAACCAAAGCTGTACACTGACGACCTTGGAGATGTTTTGTCAGGATCTCCTGAGGTTGTGTCAGGAGCACGTCCTTAACCTTGGCAAAATAAACTTCTTAATTGAGACCTGTCTCAGGTACAGTTTGTTCATAACTTCCAACAGTTACTAGATTCCCTTGTGGAGGGTTTGCTGTCTGCCACCTACCATGTCCCCTTCAGGGAACATCAGATTCAGGGCAGGGATTTCTGTTGATATGGTTCCCTGATGTATCCCCACACCTGAAGCAGTGCCTGGCACATAGAAGACCTTCATACATATTTGTTGCCTGAAGGAACACATCTGCCTCCCCCACTAGACTGTGAGACCATTCAGGGTCTCGTTCTCCCCCATGGGACGGAGCCCTCTATGCATCCTTGCATAATCGTGCAAAGAGCCTCACAAAATAACAGAATTAAACCATGCATGTCTTAGAGACGGAGGGGACATTCTGGGGGTAGTTTCTACTTTCTTCAGCCCAACACACATTTCTCTTGAATGGTCTGTGCCCATTAGTCCTACATTCCAGCTGAGACGGTCTCAGGCCCACGCCTTCCCTCGGCCACTGATGGCATCTACCTGCGCTCCCTCTCTTCCCTAGCCCCGAATTCTGCATTCAGAAGCTCTGTGTGCGGGAAGGGGCCAAGATGCCACTCTGTAGATCCTTATCATGTAAAAGTAAAGTTGGGGTTTGGGAAGATGATCCGAACAACTAGAGTCTCCTGCCATCCCCCCAGGGCACAGGGGATCCCAGGTCTGAGGCATGTGTTCTGGAGAGCTGCAACAAGGACACCGTGTCCAGGTTATTTTCTGGGTGTCAGTGAGTTCTAGCAGGAGACAGACCACATGACTCAGGACCACATGGGCAGGTCCTGTTCATCCCTGAGAGAG